GAAAAAAAAACAGTTCGGTGAAATTAGCTTTGGTTGTGAGCCCACCTTGTATTGTGCCGAGCAATATTTAAATGTAACTGTATTAAATGAAATATCTATGTCAGTGGGGATGTTGCACTCAGATATCTTTCTCCGAACTACTACTCCAGGAAGACATTCTCGTATGGATGGTCCCCTGAACACTAGTCTTAACCTATCCAATCAACTTTACTTTTCATAATCTGCACTTCCGACCACGTCCTGTATCATTCATATCGCATAAATCATTTATCATAACCTTTTTAATAGCTCTCTAAGTTGAGTGGCTCTCCAGCTTTATATTATGTGATGTTTAATATTTTAGATCTTTAGTATCCTGATAAGAATATTTCCATCATTATCCCAGCCTTTTTAATCTCCTTGCAAAATATACCTGGATACCGATTATCCAACGATGGAATAATGCCTGAAATATATCAAGGTGGATATGTGGGCATATAATAAAAAAAATCAAAAAAAAATTCAAGGAGCTGAAAGTATCTGGCTTGCAGACGTCAATATCCCTTGGATTACGGGTCCAGAGAGATCATTAACATTCGCTGGCAGTCTGTCTAAAAGATGGATTATTCTGATATCAAAACCATTTTAGACGGATCTCCTTTGTCAACGTTGGCAAATCATTCTTTGGTCAATCCCTTCATCTTTGTGATGAGAGTTTTGGAAATGCTACCCAGCAAGCAGTAAGCTTCCGAGAAATATTTAGAAAAATATTCGAATAAACCAACGTCACTATTTCGCGTATATAAAATAGATTTAAGGATGTGGATGCTGGGTTGGTGCAATGGTTAGCGGCGTCGAATGCGAAATAGATGAGCTGAATTCGAATTTATGTTATGTTCATTATAATGACTTATGCTCAAATAAACTTAAGAAAAGAAAATAGTCACTTGTTCCGTAGCAGGAAACAAAGGACTCCCTTGTCATGGTTGCCAATCAATCTAGTAGAAGCACAACTATGAATTCAAAATCATAATAACTGTTCATGCTCCAGAACCCTTAACAATGATAAGGGATAGCCTACGCTATAGCACAGAGTATAAAAAAGAACTTCTCTAATCTAATCCCTCAAGGATTGGTTTTAACTTTTTTACTATTAATATCACAACTATATTCTGAACGTGAACATATGATGCTGACAATCTAAAAACCGTTTATAATTCTTGATATGAAAGAATTCAATACTAAACCTATATTCGAGCATCTAAAAATAATCTTGAAAATAAGAAAAGAGGACTGCAATATCAGTCTTTTTATATGGCATTTTTTTTTGCTTGGAAATCTCGCTGATGAAGAAGAGGCTTGAGGCAAAAGAAGTATGGTTCTACTGAAGGATGCTGAAAATACCATGGACTGAACATATGAGAGCTGAAGAAGTTTTAGAGAAATTGAAACAAAATGTACACTAATAATTAATATCAGGATGATACAATTAACATTACTAGTGCACTTAATGAGGATAGAGATACTAGGAAATTTGACACTCATTTGATTTGCAGTTGGGCAGCGGGAAGTAGCGTATAATAGGCCTAGCGAACAGGGGTTAGGACAGATAGTTAAAAGACAATATTTAATAATAACTATAAAGGACAGGAAATTGTGGAGAGTCATGATCCCCTACCTCGTGAAATATCACGGCACAAAGGAAGAAAAAAAAAAGATGAAGGTAATTATGGAATTTTATTCTCAATAAAAGCTGATATATCTGATTCAATATATCGTTACCTTTGAATATTTTGTAAGGCAAGGGCCACAAAAAAGAAGAAGAGCTAACTCTAATAGAATCCATCAGAAATATGACCAATTTTGTATCATATTGAAGAACATCATCCGTCATTCAAAAGTTAGTTCAGTTAATACAGAAACCAAGGAATCAGAATAAAGGAAATAAATGGCATCCAAGAAATCTCTTCAGATATGTGACAATTCGTAAGCAATAGTTACCTCGGATTTCTTCTATGCTCGCAATAATATAATTCTTCCGATGTGGGGAAAATGAATCGACCGTAGTAAGGATCATCGAGACGATGCGAACGATCTTTCCTTAACAGTATAGTATGTGTTTTGCCACGGCTAGCTACAGTTTTGAATTCAGAGTTTTCATTCTAGTAGACCGGTTTACACCTAAAACTAAAAAACCTGGTTTGTCCTGCTACTTACCCATAGCTGCGAGGAAAAGCATTGGATTCATAACTTCCATAATGTATTAGAACGTAAGTGAATGCAATGAACTGGTCTATCGGATTCCTTTAATCCGAGTCGCACCTCATTGCACTATATGTGAAGAAAACTAATGAAATATTCCTGGGAAATCTGGGTATATTCTTGCTTAGACTATTTTATATGAAAACATTGCAACAGCTTGATTTATATCCTGTTTATAAAAGAGCCTTGCCTAGAATAACCTCGGATATAATCTGGGCTTGACTGATACTCATACCAAAATATAATCTCATTTTTTAAATCTATAAACTTTAAAAGCGAAAAACAACCATTAAAGAGAAATTCATTTCTTTCTGTTACAACGTCCACCATTTAAAACGAAATGATTTCTTGAATGACAGACAACTTTCTCGTCGTTTATTCTTATATGTTCGTCATGAAAAAAACATTAATATACTCAAGTATTATCTGAATCTTAAAATAGAATTAAAAATAATAGCAATTATACAACATTCCAGATGTTGAGTGATGATAATGTAAAGAAGGAAAATGAAAAGATTTAGTCTATTTCGCATCTCGCTAAATAAAACCCCCAAATCTAAACTAATCAATTGTTTTCATTCCTTTTCCTGTTATTATCAGAAACTGCTAAAAGTTGAATATTATTTAACCAATTAGCTGCCAAATTTTTTAATGCGCATTTTTGGCCCAGACAGGTGTTTTAGGTGTTTATTTATTCCTTAAGTTTAACTTCAGTAATTACCATTGTCGTTTTTATAGAAACTAGAACATCAAATATATATGTGTATAAAACATCAAAAACTAATAGAATGATTAGAAAAAATACCTTTCAAAAGTTTCATTTTTCTACTCGTGAAAGGTTAAACTTACGACAGAAATTGTCTTCCTACGGCTAATAATAAAGAAAAAATTTTAAAGGCTAAGTGATGTAAAATATACCTCTGCAAATACAATGTATGTAAGCAATTCAATATAAATACAAGGAATAACATGTAGTGAGTTTAATTTTAACAGATCCCCAAATGGGGCTCATGGCAGGTATAATAGGTTAATGTCACTAGTCTAGAAGCTGGTTGATATAAAATCATCATTATCGGAAGCATGAATGGAAATTCTTAAAATATGGATACGTCTTATGCAGCATTGCCTCTCAGACTAGACATCATATTCTTTCTCATGGTGCACCCTCTTCCAATTAAAGTCAAGTGGCTTAAAATAACTTTCTGGCCAGATCGTAACGCCCGAATTAGAACCATGAGATTATTCTAATAATAAGCAAAATGTATTCTGGTTGTAACCTACTGCTGTAGGAGAGCAAGGCACAACCGAAGCGAGGTGAGGTGAAAGTGAAGAGTCTAACCGACGTCTTCCATTTCGCGTCGCGGCGAGTTTGTCTCTCATCACTTTGCCTGCTTTTGACTGTGTCTCTCTGTTGTTTTTCCGCCGGTAGTGAACACTGTCTCATGGAGAACATCGTTCTTTGAGTTTTCATCTTTGTCTAAAAAAGAATTTATCATAGTCTGACTTCATTTTGTGACCTACTTTTTCAGGGACGTTTGAAAATTTACCTTTTTAAGTAGTTTTCACTTACCTGATAATAATCAGGAAAATAAATGAATGAAACGATACTTGTGACATCACATACGTTAACATTTAACAATATATCGACTGACACTGATGTCGCTACATTTTACACTAAATAAATAAAGCACACTAGTCAACTGGTTAGCTAATATTTAAATAAAAAGATATATTTAAAATTTCTGGGTAAGACTTCAATTGTCGGGTGCACTATAAGAGTTAAATGTTAAATGAGCCTTTTAAGATAGTAAGTCGGAAAATATTGTTACAGTCACTAAAATCATGCGAATCTCTCATTCATATATATATATATATATATATATATATATATATATATATATATATATATATATATATGTATATATATATATATATATATATATATATATATATATGTTTGTGTGTGTCTGTGTGCGTGTATATATATATATATATATATATATATATATATATATATATATATATATATATATATATGAGAGAGAGAGAGAGACCAGCTGCAATCTTCGGCTGAGCGCTATGTTTCAGCAAATTTTCGGTTCATTGATATTAGTACCTCACCACACTCTGGTCCCACAACAGCGAGATGATGTTACGTTGCAACCGGTCTATGTTGTTGGTTGGAAGTTACTCGATACGATTTTCTGGCTAATTCTTTCATTGCATTACACCGCTTTCTGGCCACATGTCTTTATTATATTAATCGACTTTTGAATTACAACACACTTGAGGAATCTCTTTAAGGAAACACCAGGAAATCCTCTACAGCCAGCTTCAAACGGCACCAGGATGCAACCGTATTCCCTCCCACGTATATCAGCCACCAGTTCCTCATATCGACGCAGCTTTCTTTCATGAGCCTCTTCAGTCCCTTCCTCCCATGCTAGCATCATCTCGCCAAGCAATCAATGTTTCTTCTCGCTATCAGTTAGAACAACATATGGCCTAAGTCCAGACACAATAATCTCTCCTTGCAGTGTGGAATAAATCAACACTCTCCACTTCCTTGAGGCCTCCGACCTGGTCTTCTGCATTGTGTCTGTCACATCTTGCTTCAGGAAGGCAATCCTTCGAAGAATTGACGAGTATATACTAGCACTACTCTGCCACAACATCCCGGATCAAGTTATGTCTAAACGTTTAACAGCCATTCTCTAGCGCTTTCGGCCAGGATAAGAGCATATGGCGCAGGTTTCCATATGCACCACACAGCCGTCAAAAGGATTTTTCTTGCACTCCCCATCTCTTCAAATGCAATCACATCATATGCTTCCTTAACCTACGCTGAGATGCTCCCAATTAGACCAACTGATCTGAACACCATCAATACCCTCCCAGTGGAGCCATCAACCCTGCTGAACTTGTCGAACAGACGGTACGAATCGTCTCCACTCCTCGAGCTTCCGAACCCCTATTCCTGTTAGTTGCGTTGCTTATGTCTACTGGCATCTGACCAGGATCGCTCCCTCTCAACTAGCACGTTCCTCTCTTGTAGCACCCTTAAGATCTACCTGCTTTTCCACCCCATCCACTGCAGACATTACATCTGACATTTTCACTTTCTTTCTGCCTTCAACTGTGGCACATTATCGCGGATTACAGCATCTTTTGATTCACGCAGCTTGGATTGCAAACTTCGCTATCTATTACTCCTCCACCAAAGAAGTAACAGCTAACTGAATTACGCCATTTCTAGCTGCCAGAATCCTCGCAACATCATGCCAAATCCGTATGCATTTAGTGATTTCCTCTCAGTTATCTCAACTGGAGACAGTGCCATTTCATAGATAGTTAGCGGCCACTTCAGTTTCGGCATTAACCCAAAATGCATACACTGATGGAAAACATTTCATTAATGTCAGATTCTCTATTCATAAAGAGTGACCAGCTTTTCTTTGGTTTGAAGGCTATCTGACCGCACACTGCCAATGCTGCATGTCTCTCCAGACCTAACTCTGCTACTTTCATATCGTCGACAATTAATGGTAAATTATCCATAAATGCCCGGATTTTGACCTCATTCTACAGAAAGCGGTACTCTGGCGTCAGACCTCTCAAGATCACCTCCATCACCCTCAGAAACTGTAGGGGAAAAATGGCACATCCCATTAAATTCCACCTCCACTGCAGCTCCACATATATTTTTGTGTATTTCAACATTGTGAAACGCAGCATGAACTGATTGAAATAGATGCCCAGGCAATCCCTGAGTTTCTGTGAAACGTAGAAGAAATCCAACACCATCTGTATCATGTTATGAGGAACTGAACCATACGCATTAGCAAGTTCCAGCCAGATGACACGAATATTCTTATTGCAGTTTTTTCCCGCGAGGATCTTTACCAAAATGATTGACACAAGCACAACAAAACACCTGGGATTCCTTCCTTTTCTCTGCTAGTGTATATTTAGTTCTTCTCGAGCCAGTAGCTCGTCAGCCTTGTGGTAAACACATTAAAGAACATCTTACCCCCAATGTTCACGAGAGAGATTGGCTGGAACTAAGAGTCAGTGAATTCTCCTCCTTCGGTATATACACACAATCAGCTCGGCACCAGCTCCCCAAACCATCACTAACTTCCCAAATCTTCACAAGAAGTCTCCACAGACACCTCTGACGCCTAGGACGCCTCTTATAGACAGAATATCTCACACGATTAGCACTGTTGGCATTAATTACCGTGTTCATATGGTGTCTCTCCAGATCATCCTGCTAAGCGCTCAACGTTCCGCTACACCTTTCCCTAAACAACTCCTTCGTGAAGCGGAAAGGAATTTATGTGAATCATTTCCAGGCCTAGGTTGCCTTCTGTCTGCTTTTGACAAGACTTTCTGCTTTACTTACCTTACAAATTCACTTCCTTATGCCTTCCAGGTTTGGCTTGATTTCTTCTTCCCTCTGCTCATCAGTACGCATTGCAGCTCGAAACATTCGCAACACTTTCCTCAGTGTCTAGATTGTTCTCCCACCGACATTCCAAGACTGTAG